GGGCCCTCACCCTGTGGAGACAGGAAGGGAGTCAGAAAGCCTTGAGGAAAGGCTGCAGCCTGGCTTCCATGGGCTGTGGCTGCCAGCACTCAGGGCGGGGATGGGGGAACCCAGAGGAGGGAGCTCAGGGAGGCTCTGGAGAAAGGGAGGCAGGGAGGGCAGCCCCAGGGGCCTGTGCTGGAACAGGGGTGGCCAGTCAAAAGGACTGCGTCAGCCACCCAGAGCTGCGATCAGACAGAGCTGCGGGAGCCTGGCTTGGGAATGAGGAAGTGCAGGCTGGAGCCTTTTCTCCTACAGAGGGCCTTTCAGATGCACCATCCCCAGGGGCAGGAGTCTGCCACCACAGGCTTTGATGTGATAAACTGTGGATGACGTGTGTTCAGGCTTTCCAGGAACTAAATGAAAAACTTAAAACCAGAAAAGAAATTATTTTCAACTTAAGACATAAAAGGAATATTTGAAACGGAGTGAGCTCTGAAGCCTTATGGGTGTTTGTCCACTTGGCTGAGGAAGACCATTTATCATAAGAAATGATCTGCAGGAATGATCCGTGATTGACTGAGGAGGCACGTTGAGGGGCATCAAGCCTGGTGCCTGCCACATGTGGGGGACGAGCTCCCGGGATGGGCTACTGCTCATGAGGTCTGCACCGAGTCCCAGGAGGGGAGGACAAGGAAGAGGCTGCTCTGGGTCAGCCTTGTGGAGGCGGTCCCTCTTTGCAGGCAGAGCCTCTTCTGGGTTCTGCGTTTTCTTGCGCCTCTGCCTGGTCACAGGTGTGCATGGGGGTGGTGACCAGTGGGCAGGCAGGTGAGGACCCGAAGCGGAAGGAGGCCTTGGCTCATCCATTCTGACGAGGGCACGTGGACTTCCCTTCCAAGAGGTGGCCCCAGCCACAGTGGCCACCTGCCTTTCCGGCTGTGAACCCGGCCCCTGGGACTCTATATCTTGTCCCTGAGTGTGCTTTTTCCATCAGCTCTGAGCTCAGGGAGGGGGTGGGGGGCGCGGGTGTGCCCCCATCACAAGTTCGACAAAGGATGCGGAGTCGTCACACTGAGGGCATGAGATACACACCAAGTAGAAAGGCTCGGAGCCCACACACACACGGTACCCGCCTGGGTGGATGCAGAGGACTTGCCTCTAAAGGCAGGAACCACCCCAGAGCCTGACACTGGAGGGGATGGGGCAGGCTGTGGTTTCTTCATGCGTCAGGAAGAAGGTCCACAAAGACACTACTGTTGTGATCTCAGGAAGGCCAGGAAGCTCTGCAGCAGGCTATCTTCCCATCAACGGTCAATACAAATTAATCCAACAGAGTGATACAGCTGCAGGGTGAGGACCTTGGGCTACGGGACAGAGCAGATCCCTGAGGCAGTGTCAGGCTGGGTGTGACTGCTGTGGTCGCACCGAGTCAGTCCTGGGACTGGCAAGGAGGTGCCGCCTTGCACATCCTGGGCCAGCCGGCTCCGTGGCTGCCCGTCTGGGCCTTTCTGAGCCCAGGCTCGGTCTCTGGCAGGTCCTCCACCTCTTTCCACCTGTGTCCGGCTCCTCTCACCCTTCATACCTGTGGGCAGGCATGTCCTCCAGGCTGGCATTCTGCATCCCTCTTGCTGCCTGGACTTCTCTCTCCAGCCTGCAGCCAAAGCTGCCAGAGACAGGTCAACCAGTAGCCACCCCAGCCCAAGTACCGAGCATGGAGGGGCGGGGGACAGGAGCAGGGCTTTCCTCAGACAAGCTGGCTCCAAGGTCAGTTCAGTGGTGCAGCAGATACTTTCTGACCCTGCTGCCTCTGTCATCCAGTCCCAGTGGCCCCGGCTCCTAGGAGATGCTTCATCCTACCCCGGCCTCTCTCAGGCCAGGAGGTCCCACCCAGAGTGGAGAAGGAAGCACTCCAAGCACCCCGCTGTTGCGGGCATTCTCAAAGACAACCAGTTGCAGGGGTCACCTGCTTGTTCCGCTTGCTCGGAGCCCCGAGTCACAGGCCCAACAAGCCAGCGCCACGCTCGTCCCAGGGTACCTGCACAGATGACTCACCCAGAAGACCTGACAGCCCCCACACCCCTGCTGGCCCCCAGGAGTCAAGGGTCAAGTCCCAAGCCAGCACATGCGATCCCAGGGTACCCTCCACATGTGCCCAGCTCAGGTCTCACCCTGTGTCCTGAGGGGGTCGCGTCACTCTGGGTCAAGGAGCATAGCAGGGCCGCCCTCCTGTACTGCCTCTCTGGTGGAGTCTCACCACACGGCTGTCTGTTAAGCTCAGGGGCTGAGGCCAGGTGTTGAGGGTTTGATGTGCAAGGTGACTCCCGGCAGCCACTGGGGCCTGGGAAGGAGGAGGGGCGAGCAGCGCCCCCCACCCCAGCCCCACACCTCCCCAGCTTGGTGCTTCCGGATCCCCTGACCAGCTGCCGCCTCCCTGGATACTTGAGCACCTGCCTGCATCAGGCCAGCTAGAGTCTCTGGGCACTTCCCTGAGTCAGAGTGCCCTCCTCAGCAAGTGAGGGTGCCGACCTGCTGCTGGCCTCAGAGGTCTGTGTGGAGCCCTCCATGAACAGGCATAGGCCATGAGCTGGACCCTACTGGCTGTGGTCCAGGTCAAGTGTCTCAGACACATCACCAACAGAGGACTGGCCTCCCGGCCCCACCCACTCCCAGTGCTTTCCCCAGGAGTGGCAGATCCAGGCGGAGGGGCCAGCTCCCCCGGGGACGCCCGCCCTCCTGCTGCACTGACCTCACACCGGGTGGACTGGCACCTCTGTCCTCCCTGTTCCCTGTTCCAGCTGCCCCATCCCTGAAGGCCCCTCCTGGGGCCGTGAGAACTCACACCCATCTGTTGGTTATCCCTTCTTCTTCGGCCTGACATACGTCATTCCACCCCTGCGAGCCTGCACGGTCCGGGGACCAGGGCTACTCCCTGAGCTCATAGCTGGGGACTGGTGCCAGGAGAAGGGGAAGTGTGCCCAGGTGGACCAGCTGCCCTTGCCCACACCCACGCCCTCACTTGCTGTCCCTCGATGTCTCTCTCGGCTGCTTAGGAGCCCTACGGCCGCTGCGGCCCAGTTATAAGTATGTGATTATGTATGCCGGGTCCCTCTGGCCCCTTTGTTGCTGCAGAATCTGTCATGGCAAACAAAAGTGCACTGGATTAGCCACAGTGGATTAAAAGATTTGCTCCTCAGAGTTTACCTAATAACCTAACAATCGCACTGACGGAGGCTTTGAACCTCCAAGACACACTCGCCAGGCCATCTGGGAGCTTGCGGCCTCTGCGGGCAGCAGGACGACCGGGCGCTTTCAGGCGCCTCCGCCTGTCCTCACGGTGGGCTTGCTGCAGCAGGCCTGAGCCCTCGGCTCTCGCCAGGTCCGTCTGGGCCAAACACGGGGACGAGAGCAGACCCGGAGAAGATGGAGGCCCATGCTGGGGGCTGAGGCCCAGGCAGGACCGCCTTCCAGAGGGCCGGCTGCCCAGCGCTGGCTGTGGGCAGTGGGTACCAGGCCCCGCCTGCGTGGGCTCAGCCCCCGGGGCGTCCACACGCAGCACAGAGCAGCAAGGACACTGCAACATGGAGGGCGGCCGTGGCCGGCAGATGACACGCCGGGCTCCACCGCGCCGTGGCGCACAGTCCCACTGCTGATGCCCCTCAACGCGCGCTCCTGCACACACGCGTGCACACGCGCACACATGCACACACATGAGCGTGTCCCTCTTTGATCTCCAAAAGACACTCCATTTACAAGCTCTTAATCACAGCTGCCTTTTCGGGGCCTGTCCTCTGAAGTCCCGAGTAATGGGATTTGGCGCTTCTGATCCATCTTGGGCTGACCGCTCCTGTTATAGGTGGACGTTTTTCCCCTTTTTTCCACCTTTTTATTTTTTTCTTGTCAAAAAAAAAATGCTCCTGCAACTGCACTGCCTTGACATGCCTGTTGCCTAGCCCTGGGAGCGGTGGCCGGGAGAGGGGCCGGGCGGCCGTTACGCCCAGGGCCCTCGCCAGTTGGGGGTCTTTGATGCCGCTTCTATGTGAAATCTGCCGAGAAAGACCCACGAGAGCGGTTTCCTGGACCTCGGTGCGCTGCGATTCGTCCTGCCTCGCGCCGTTCCCTTTGTCTTTCTTCCCGTGACCCTTCCTTGGGGTATCTGGGGAGAGGGTCCCAGGGTGAAGGTGCAGAGGGCGGGGTGGGTGGAGGGCTCTGGGCTCCGCCACAAGAACAATGGGCAGCAGGGAGCGCGTCCACCTGTCTGCCTGTCCACCCATCTGTCTGTCCATGCGCCCGCCCGGCTTACCTCACCTGCCTGGCTCCGTGCGCCTGCTCCCGCCCCACCGGCCCGCGCTCCGCCATGCTGGGCCTGGCCGTCCGTGAGAGCACTCTGAGCCACTCCAGGAAGCGGGTCCCTGCTCTTGGCCACTGTGTGGCTGCGAGGAAGAAGCGTGACTCTAGGCTGCAGCTCGGGCTTCCACCGCCGATTGGCTGAGGCAGGGACCAGATGACGGCCTCGGAACCCTATGGTAGCCATGGCAACCAGCCCCTTTAGACACCGCCACCCCCGAGCCACTCCTGACTGCGGAGGGAGCAGGCGGCACCGCTGGTGGGCCCATGCCAGGGTCCCCTCGGAGGGTCAGGTCAGATGTGGCTGGGTGGTGGCTGCTCCTCCAGCAGCCGTTGAGTGTGTGCATGTGTGTTGTGCACGTCCAGCGTGAGGGGTCCCTGTCCCTCTCTTGGGACATGTCTCAAACAACTCCATGCCCTTCCTGACACCCTGGCAGTGCCAGGAACAGTGTCCATGCAGACCCTACTAAGAGGAAGACTTCAGGTCAGGCTTGCACCAGGAGCTGAAGGCCAGGCCCAGGCTGGTGAGAAAATAATGGGTGAGGGCAGCGGAAGGGGGAGCTGCGGGAACGCCCCACCCTCGAGGGAGATCCAACCTCTCTTCACCTCGGACCGCAAAGGGCCTGCCGGCCTCATCTCTGCAGCCAACCCCTCCTCGACCCTTTGGACACACTCACATGACCCCCAGCAGAGCCCTCCTGCCCCAAAGACCTTGTGTGCCTGTCCGACAGGACCAGGGGACTCTTTCCAACCCCAAGCCTTTGCAGCTGCTCTTCCCAGGGCCTGTACCCAGTCTGCTGGCCTCAGCAAGGCCTTCCCTGAGGTCTCAACACCACAGCTTTCCAGCAAGGACACAACGCGCCATCGCTCCAAGGACCGGCCCTTCTGGGCGTTACAGGGCAGAGAGCAGCCTGGAGCCACCCCCACTCCATGTCCCTGACAGCCTGTGGTCTTCCATGGGCCGCTGGGGTCAGCACCACCTTGTTGAAGCCCCCGTGAAGGCCACTGGAGAGCCCTGGGCAGCCCAGCCCCACCTGCCAAGCAAAAGATGGAGGCCAGAGGCCGGGCATGGAGGAGCAGATGTGAGCCTCATGCCCCAGCAAGAGCCAGGGTTGAGGCAGACCCTGCGGAGGCCACTGCCAGAGCCAGAGGGATCCAGAGTCAAGGGGAATGTGGGACAGGAACCCAGGGCTCACACACTTGAGGGAACAGGCAGAGGGCATGCTAGGCTGGGCCCAGAAGCTGCTTGACCAGGACCCTAGATTCATCCCAGACTTCTTCACACTGGCCGAGCCCCACCCCACGCTGCCCAGTCTCCGAGCTTCCACCCCCAGCCTTGGGGCCTCCCATCTGTGGACACCATGAGCAGGCAGAGCCTGTCCAGGGGCAAAGTACAGGCGGGGACTCAGCGCTGGGCCCCTGGGGCTGGTAAAGCGGCTCCGGGTGTGCTGGGAGGGCTCCAGCCTGTGGCCAGGGAGCGTCAGCCTGCACAGGTTCTTCTGACCCCTGCAGGGGTCTGCCTTGGGGACAGCCAGCGGGGGCGGGAGCTGGCTCAAGGGGCAGCGATGGGTGTGCAGGTTGGGCAGGTCCTGGTGCCTGTGGATGCCCCCGCGGCTCCTCTGCCTCCCCCACACTCTGACAGGGCCCAGGCTGCCCTGTGCAGACGGGAGGACTCAGGTGAGACCCTCCTGAGGGGCCCTGCCCCTCTGGGCCTAGGGTATCCCCTTCTCTAGGGACTAGGGGACGTCAGGAGGCAGTGGACACAACAGGGCCTCAGGATACCATGGTGTTGATGGCCACTGTCAGGGCCCCCACTGCTGGCCCCGAGGGCCCCCTCCCTAGTCCACAGCCACCGTGATGCTTCACCTCCTGCCCAGTCCAGCTGGGAAACATACTGGTTGAGCTCTGCTGTCATGGAAACACAAGAGGAGGGCTGACCCAGCTGGTGCAGAGACAGGGGCGTGGCCGGTTTGCAGCCAGGAGCCAGTGCAGGGCAGCTCGTTTCTACAGGCTTGACCTTCCTCGGTACAACGCAAGTACTGAGGAGCTGCAGGACCTCGGCAAGGGCAGAACCAGAGGCTCAAACAGCAACATGGCAGGGGTGTGGTTGAGGGGGGCAAAGGCAGCTCAGGGGGCCTCAGCCTGACCAGGACTGGCGGTGGGACACGTGGAGGGCAGTCCATCTCCTCACCACTGCCCCTCCAAGACCAAACCCACAGGTCTGGGGGTGGCTTCCCAGGGGCCGGGGAGTGAGTCAGCCCTGCAATGAGGGCTGCGAAACTTCTCCTGAGTCAAGGGTATCAGGGAGAATTTGATGAAACTGCTGTTACACCAGCAGAAAACAGCTGCACTCAGACCCTTCGCCAGCTCGGCCCCGTGTGGCAGGCACGCTAGTGACCCTCTCAGGGCGTGCCAAGCTCCTCCCAGCAGCCAGCAGAGGCCTCCCAGGACCCACCACTGCCCCCCACAACCCACAGCCACTGCCAATACCTAGCCCAGCCCCCACCTACTCAGGTCACACACCCTGTGCCGGTGCAGGGTCCCTTGGGGGCCCAGGAATGACACAGGTGCCCCCTTGGCTACAGCCTTAGTTGGAGCAAGAAGGAGCAGGCAAGGCAGAACTACCAGAGTTGAGGTCAGTGAATGGGGAATGTTCCGGGTACACATCACAGGGAACCCAGGTGGAGACGGGGGGGCTGGGGTGGGGAGGAGACCCTGCACACGGGAGGGAATGTGGCCCGCCCAGAGCACCCCCAGTCCACCGAGCCGGGGCTGTGGTTTGGATAACTGGGCTGGACATCGCCAGCCCACAGAGCCGGGCCAGGGGAGAGCTGGGCACCATCAGCATTTGGTAAAATTCTTAAAAAATTAAAACCAATCACAAAACAGGGGTAGGACACATGGGGTCTGGAGGTCCATGGAGGAGACAGGGACTGGTGACCTCCAGGGCACTCCTGCTAGCGCCCTGACCCCAAGGCAGCCCCCAATCCTGGATGACCTCGCCGGGAGCCAAGGGTCTCCAGAGCCCTCCTGCAGCCGTGCTCACCAGCCAGCTGCAGGCTCTCTCTGGTCTCCTGTCCGATAAACACAGTCCAGGTGGTGTAACGTCCACGGCAACCCCCCAGGGAGCGTGGTACTCCTGGTGGTCCAGTCAGCCACAGGACTTGGTCAGGGCACCCACTTGTCCTCCCAGAGAAACCCAGATGGACCTCAGTGCTTAGGACTCCTGGGTAAAGGTCAGCAAACAGGGTCATGGCCCCCAAATCTCAGATCAAGAGAGGCCTCAGGTGCCTGGTCCAGCCTCTCACCGGGGGCACAGCACCCCCGCCAAGTTCAGGCTGTGGGTCAGCAGAGGAGGGGCGCCAACGTCACAGGCCACCTTTTGGGCATGACAGGGAGGGGCTGCCAGAAGCTGCAGCCTCGAGGCTTTCCCTGCAGGACACCCTTTGCCCCTGCGCCTCCCAGGGCTGGTGGGGGTGCTCACCACGCCAAAGGCCGAGCTGGCGCAAACCCTGTGCAGCCAAGTCCCAAGCCCTGCCATGGCACCTGGCATGGCTCTGGAGGACAGTCCACCTGGGCAGGGCTGTGCACCGGTGGGAGGGGCAGCATCACTCTGCTCCCCGGACGCTGGGTCCCCCACGAGAGACAAGACTGAAGTCTTGAACACCCGGGACCACTACCCACCTGAGCTGCGTCCCGGCACCACCTGGGCAGGGAGTCAGCTTGATCCTCTAAGCAAAGCAGCACACACGTGGCCTGGCTCAGACTTTACTCAGGCTGGGCCCGGAGAGTGGTGATCCTCCTCAACAGGGCCCCTACTGCAGGGGGAGGGAGCAGCGAGCCACACAGGCAGTTAAGACAGCCCCAGGCCTCTGGGGATCCGGGGGCTCCCGCAAAGCCCACCCTACCCAGGAACTGCGTGGCTAGCACACACAGCCATGGCTTCACCCACTGCCCACGGGCGGCTGTCACCCAGGCCCCAGGCTCTGTCCACGGTGCTGAGCCTGGCTGTCAGGCCCAGGTCCCCGGGCAGCTACGTCCTGTTGGCTCTTTTCTGTACCACAGCCGGCTGGGACAGCGCCTGCTGCTTAAGTTGCTCGACCAGTTCCTCCACGTAGACCTTGAACAGAGGCACGGGGTCCTGGAGGGGCAAGACGGGTCACCATAAGGCGGTCTGGGGAGGCCAGGAGTCCAGCTGCTGCTGACCAAACACCAGCCCCTAACCCAGAGGACAGTGCCCTGTCTGTGGGAGAGGGCCACAGGATCAGGCACTTGCCCCTGGCTTCCCTGGCTGGACTGCAGAGAATAAAGGCAGAGGGAGGGGGCAGCAGCTACCACATGCTACAGACTCCTCTAAGGGACAGATGCAAAGGCCTCCGGGTGGTACTAGGCAGACCCTGGGGAGTGCCAGGCGGGCACAGCAAGCAGAGGCACCAAGCCTCTGGCTCTCGCCGGTCCTCCCACACGCTCACCTTCTCTTCCAGGAGCCTCTGCTTCTCCACGGCCTCATCCAGCGTCAGACCGACCCACTCAGCCTCTGCCTCCGGGATGACAAACGCCTGGGCAGGCAGAGACAGGCTCTCAGTGAGGTTCAGGCAGCCAGCTGGGGGGCCCACGAGGAGCAGTCAGTAAAGGCTGGAGCCCCGACCTTGTACTTGTCATAGATGGCTGCCCTCCGTTCGGGGTCATCCGGGTGCAGCTGGGGGTCCTGTCGGGCGAGCCGCAACAGCATCCCTCGCTTCAGGTCCATCCCAAACTTGGAGCACAGGTCCTCCTTCGGGGTCTGGCAGGAGGCACCGCATGGGGCCAGGTGCTGAGGACAGGGCCCCGCCCATCCCAACAGATGACCCCTCCAGCTTCCCCCGCCAGCAGCTGGCAGCCCCCACACCCAGGTCGGAAGAGTGGAAGGTCTAAGAACAGAGAAGGTGGCTGTGCTTCCCACATCCACAGTAATTGACTCCCACCGGGGTGTCCAGGAAGGAACATGGTCCCGTTAACATCTCACTAGGGACCCCGGCCTAGTGCTGATATGCTTGCCTTGAGGATGTAGAAGTCAAACCCGTAGGCCTCGTCAATGAGGTCCAGGGTGCGCATGGTCACGGTCACAGTGAACCTGGTGTCCAGGATCTCACTGTAGAGCTCACGCTGGAACAGCTGTGGCTTCCACACCTTCTTCACCCTCTTGGAGAACTGCAAGTGCGGGAGTCTTGCTGAGCCCTGCTGCTTCTCGCCACACCCTGGAGTGCAGGGACCACCCCCACCCAGGCTCTGCCCAGGGTGCTGCTTTTCATTCCAGACACAGCACACACACAACTGTATCCTGTGGTTCACAGGTCATTCCAAACCAGGGACCAAGGGGCCAAGGGCAAAGAGACACCAGCCTGGGAGGCCTTAAAGACACAAAGCCCCCAACCCCAAGCTCGCCCCAGAGGCAGCACCGCTTAGGAGCAGACTCAGGAGACGGGATCCGAGGTGAACCTTTGGTGGCAAGCTGACAGGTGACCTGAAACCTCACCCCCAGCCCTTCTCAACAATCAGGGCTCCTCCCATCAGTACACTCGACCTGGCTGCCAGAACTGAGACTCGACTCCTGAGAACACCTCAGAGGGAGCTGTCTCCACCACACTGTCAGGCCCTCTCCCCGAAGGGTGGGCGCCCTTTCACTGTCCACATGCCCCAAAAGCCCACGCGGAGCAGGGCAGCGAGACCGCGGAAGCACGGCTCCGGCGCGCCCTGCTCACCCACCTTGTCGTTGTTGACGTATCTGTAACCCTTCAGCCAGCCCTCGCCGCCCCAGAGCCCCAGCTGGGACTCCGGGGGGTAGTGAACGGGAATGGCCACATCCTCCACACGCTCCCGCTGCCCGTTCTTGGGGTTGATCTTGAACTTGGCCCCTTGCGGCCTGAAGTGCACGGGCGTGGGCGTCCGCGCCTCCTCCAGGGAGCGCAGGTAGTGCGGGGGCAGGCGGGAGCAGATGCCCTCGCGCAGACGCAGCCGCTTCCACAGGCCGACCGGGACCTTGTGCAGGGGCATCGCGGCGAGCCTGGCGGGGAGGCCAGGGCCGCCGTCACGCGCGGCCGGCAGGAAGCGGCCTCGACCATACCCCCGCTCCCGCGACATCCCCGCCAGCGGCCCAACCCTTCGCGCAGCCCCGACCGCAGACGCATGACCCGAGTTCTACCCTGCAAGACCCCCGCCCCAGACCGACCACACCACCTACTTTCCAGAATCCCTGCCTCGCCGGAACCGGAAGTCGCGCCGCGGCATCGGGCTCTCCACCCGCCGCTGACTGGCTGCAAAGGCTGTCGATCTACCCCGCCTCGTCCCGCCCCCTTTCCCGCCTTTACGGGCGGTAGAGAACTCCCTGCGGAGGAGGCGGCCCTAGGCACCGTCGGCAAGTGCGGCCCGGTTCCCAGGAGCAGGGACTTGTCAAACTCGGTCCCACCTTCTCCTGGAAAGAGCGCAGAAAACTATGTAAAAACTCTTGCCTTGAAACATCATTGTAGAATGTTAATTCACTAATCACAGTGAAATCAGAGCTACAGGAAAATACGTTTTAAATGTCTTGAAAAAATCTTCCCCTGAAAATATTGCATATAAATATTCCCTCTTTAAGCCAGCTCCGGTGGCCAAGTGCTGGGTTCCTGGAGGAGCAGGAAGCCTCCGGAGAGGCCACAGCCTGGACAGGACTCAGAAAAGAAGATGCTAGGAGGTGGGAGGGCCGCGTGCCCCCCACCTTGGGTTCAGCTTCCCATGGCCCCATTTGGGCCTTTCAGACAGCAGCCCCTTAGGGAGGCCGGGCCGAAGCAGCCCTTACTGGGCGTCTCCACAACCAGAGAAAGGCTGAGTTAGGTCTCCTGGAGTCCCCTCCCTAAATATGCAGTTGGGTGGAAGGCGGCAGCCATCCCTGCTCTCCTGGGAATACGAGGAAATGCTCCCTAGACAAGGGCCCAGAACCCAGGGGCCGGTGGGACACAAAGCTGGGACAAGGTGTGCCCTGTGGGCCCAGCGTCCTGAAAGCTGCTTGGCACTTTCCTACCCGGGAAGCTCATCTCAAAACTGAGAGCCACAAGAAGTGAAGGGGGAGGACTGGACAGCCAGAAGTCAGCCTCCCGCACGCCACCCATGGCAGCAGGCCACTACAGACCCGCAGTGCCATCAGCTCCATGGCAAGTGCGGTCGCTCCTTCCCATGGCAGGTGTGTCAGCAGGGGGTAGATCCATGCCCAAGGCAGGCTGGCATTCAGGGCACAAGGAGTCAAGAAGCCAAGGCCCATGGGAGGCGGGCTCAGGGCTCCTCTGCCCACCTGGGTGTCTCACACCGAAGCCTCACAGGGGAACCAGGCAGTAGGGGACTCCCACTCCGCACCTCCCTCCAACCATCCCCAGGCCAGGATAACTCAGAGCCTGCTCCCACATGGTACCTGTGGTTTCTAGGTAGCCTGGCCCAGGCCCCAGGGGCCCCTACAGACACCAGCTGGGACCTGCAGAGGGACCGAGTCAGCTGGCAGCCCGCAGGCACAGGGACCTGGGGGTGTGGTCCTCCCTTGGGAGGAGGAAGCCAGAGTGTGCAGGGCAATTTTATTCAGCTGGAAATCGATCCGCACAGGGTCCCTCTCCCTTGGTCCTGCCCCTGGCTGGAGAGATCAAAGCTGCAGGTGTCCCCCGCCTTGCCAGCTGTGTCACGTCACTGTGTACAGCTCATCCCGGTGGTTCTTGCAGATTTCATAGTGGCAGGTGAGCTTCTGGGCGCAGGCCCAGGGCTCGGTGTGCTGCTCCCTTGGCGGCAGCAAGAAGGCTGCGCTCCCTGCCAGCAGCATGTGCCAGATGCTGTGGGTGTAGTAATAGTTTTCGCTGGTCATCATGGAAGTGTAGATGGTGAGGGCCAGGGCAGCCAGGGAAAAGCCGGGCAGGAGGTAGAAGACCCAGCGCTGCCAGGAGGGGGGGTAGCAGTGCCGCCGGCGCCCGCAGCGGTACACCTGGAGGAAACCACACGCGCATTTCAGGGCGCTGCCCAGGGCTGCGAGTGTGGGCTGCTTGGAGGGGTTCAAGGGGTGCCAAGTCACACTGGGCCCCTGCGGGTGCCACTGGCAGCCCTCAGCGGGTGTAGAGAATACAGACCCAGGAACAAGAACGTGGACGGAACGAGGGGCCACACTGTGTCCTCGCAGGGTGAGCATGTATGGGGAGCCCATGCTCTTATACCCCAACTTCCAGGGGAGGGGGTCTGGGCAGGAACCCTGCCTGCCCCAGCGCCTTACCCACATGGTAACCATGACCACGATGGCAAAGAGGCAGGGCCCCATCGTGTTCCAGGCGGCCCTGCGGTCCAGCTGCAAGGACATGGCGAAGATCAGAGTGCCCAGCATAAAGAGGACCTGGGCGAAACACAGAGACGATGGTGGGGTCACGGGAGCCCGAGGCCAGGTTGTCTTCGATGGCACAAGGTCCAGCAGGAGCAGGCGGTGTGGGCCTGCTGGTCATCCCCGTGCCCATCGCCCCCATCACCCCTGCCAGGCCCCCTGCAGAAACTGGCACCCTGTGTCCTGCTCTGCTGGCGGGGAGGAGGTGCTCCTCTCCCAGCTCCCGCACTGCTGGGATCCACTGGTCCCTCGGGTCCATCCACAGGTGTATTTCTAATGCAGTTTGTTGTTGTTGTTGTTATGTTTGGCTATGCTGCACAACCTGTGGGATCTTAGTTCCTCAACCAGGGATCAACCTGGGCCCAGGGTAGTGAAAGCGCACAGTTCAAAACACTAGGCCACCAGAAAGCTCCCCACAGGGGAGTTTCTGAGGCACGGACTTGTCCAGGGCCTGCATCTCCAGCAGCCAAGCCCCAAAGTGTCCTCAGTACAGAGACTCCAGGAACAGAGCCGGGAGCTTCTCGGGGAGGTCTGGTCCAGGTCTGGGGCTCCAGGCCTCCTCTCTGGATGGGGCCTGGCCTAACCCTGCCCACCACCTCCTTTCCTGGCAGCCTCCGAGCAGCCAGCACAGTCCCTTCACAGCTGGAGGCACCTCTGCCAGTAGGCGACTGGTCAGAACGAGAGGTTTCCAAGGGCAGCGGGAACCCCCTTTCTGGTGTCTCTCTTGACAGGCTGTGCACAAGGGCCTCTGCTCTCCCAGGACCCAGACCCCAGGCATCAAGAGGTCACTCACGTATTTCAGGGACGCCTTCAGCCGGGCCATGCAGAGGACGGTGACCCAGATGGACACTCCAGAGCCCAGGAAGTCGCAATACTGCAGCGTGTCGTAGTTGAGGATGCAGAGCACAGCATCGCCGGGCTGATCGCAGGCGTGGTAGAACTGTGGGCCGAGTGGTGAGCGACAGCCCAGCCCCCCGCCTCCCCCCCCCCCGCCTCCCCCCACCCCGGGGAGCGGGTGGGCCTACCGTGGAGAAGAACATGGTGTAGGCGTAGACCGAGGCCTCCAGCAGGAGGAAGCGCTGCACGGAGATGGCAATGGGGGCCAGGAACATGAGGTTGCTCAGGGTGAGCAGGAGGGTGGCTACCTTCTGCTGGGCCACAGTCTGGGCTGTGCTGTTGTCTGTGCAGCTCCATCCACGCCAGCCTGTGGGCCAACGCGGCACTGTGGGTGCCGAGGCTGGGCCGGTGGGGCCAGGCCAGGCAGTGGCTGCTCAGGAACCTCAGGGCCTACTCCGTGCCCAGGGCCTTGAGGAGGAAACCCTTCCTCACCCCACAGCGGGTCAGGACAGGTGTGGGCAAACGGAGGCCAGTGTGGGCAGGTGTGAGCAGGGGAAACCAAGGCCAGAAAGCAGTCCCATCTCCGGGGGTGTCTCTGTGAGCCCACACAGGGGTCGGGGGGCACGGCAGGCTGGGGAAAGAGGCAGTGGCCCCCACTCTTCGGGGCACCCTCCAACCTTGGCCGAGCTGGGGTGGCTGCCAGCAAGAGGCCCAGGGCTGGGGTCCATGGGCACAGGCGCAAGGCGCATCAGCACCGTCCCTACCTGCCCTGCAGCTGCAGCCTGCATACAGGTAGCCGTGTCTACGCAGCAGAAGGCACTGGCCGTAGGGTCCGCAGTCGTTCAGGCAAGGCACCAAGTACAAGGTGGTGTCCACGAGGACCGAGGCCTGCACACACTCCCTGCGAGGAAGGGGTCCCAGGAAGGCTGGCTGCGGAGGTCTGCTGGCCAGCCCCTCTCTGGAGCTCCCAGAGGGTCTTGGACACCTGAACTCGGAGTTGAGGCGCTTGGGCCCCGGAGGACTGCAACCACAAGGGACTCTGCAAGGCCAGGACACCCTCTCCCTGCCCACCTGCCTGGGGCTGGGACCAGCATCCCCGCTTGCGTCCTTGCTCTCAGAGCTGCCACGGGAGGAGTGGCTGGGGGGAGAGGGGGACCCCACAGGAGGCAACTGACCCGGCACGGCTGGAGGAAGACAGGTTACCCCCAAACTAGGATGCAGACAGCCCCATCCACAGTCCTGAGCATAACCACTTGGCCGCCTGCCCCCAAGTTTACTTACTCAGGCCTCTCGGGGCAGAGGACCTGCAAGGAGAGGTACCAGTTGTCTGTCTCTGGGTAGGGGATGCTGAGGTTGGCCGTGGGAGATGAGGCACTCAGGGACAGGGGGTAGCCCTGGAAGAAGGCTGCAGGGAGAGAGTGGGAAGGCCCAGTCAGAGGCGGCCAGATGCCCACCGGTCCCTGGGCCGGATGCGCCTGCCAGTACCTGTGGTGCAGTTGAGCGAAGTGTTGAAGCTGAGGAAGGGCGAGCCGGCGGTCACACAGGCCACCATCGAGGTGTTGTCAGCAATCACGGTCTGGAAGGGAGGCCAAGCAGGGTCAGTCCCCGGCCTCCACCTCATGCTCACCTCTGGTACTAGGGGCTATTCTCTGTGGCTCCTACTGGCTTGGGGCTCACCAGGACCTTCCCCTCCAGGCCAAGGGCCCCAGCCTCAGCCCCCTGCCCCATGCAGCCCCAGGCCTGCCGACAGGGACCCGCTGCCCCCAGGACAGGCCTCCTGTTTCTCAATTGGCACCTATGCCAGCCCAATGCCCTGCCAGGCTCACTCTGTTGCCAGAAAGGCCATTCCGACCCAATCTCCATGGCAAAGTGGGCACAGGAAGGCCTAAGCAGTCCTTGCAACCCGGGCAGGTCTGAGCCCCAGGCCCTGGGTCGCAATCCCGACCCAACCTCGAGGTCCAGGGTACCTGGTTGATGTTCACGGAGATGCTGAGGGAGCCCCCACTGTCCATGCCTGTGTTGAGGTACAGTTGCATCACCGAGGGCATGTCCGACTGCACGAGCACCGAGACCCTGTCCAGGGGCCGGAAGCGCACGGACACCACGTCCATGTCTTCCCGCAGGACGGGGAAGCTCCTGAGGCAAAAGGGGCCGCTGCCCGCCTCGCCGCTCTGGTCCAGGTCCTGGGTGTTGGGGCTCGGGGGCGGTGGGCCCGTGGAGGCGTTCCTGCTCTGGTTCGGGCTGCTCTGCAGAGGGTGCTGGAGGTTCACAGTCCACGGTCTGCAGGCTGTCAGGACCACAAGGGGCTCAGCGCAGGCAGGCGTGGGGGTGGAGGGGGGCAGAGCAACCTCCCCACACAGCCCACCTGTGAGGGCAGCCACAGCACTAAACGTCACCAACACGCGTGGCCCCGCCAGGCTCTTGGCTGTCACTTGCAGCCACCGTTCCCAGGGTGGTGAGGGCAGCAGCAGGCGGCAGGCCATGGTGGGATCGCTACAAGTGAGCACCTTCTGGAAGTTTCCCGGCAGGGTGGCCGAGCCCACAGTGAGGTGCACAGGGCAGCCCAGGCTCCCATTGGACACACAGCCCTGCAGCTCCAGCCGCAGCTCCTGGGTGTGCTTGGGGACGAAGACTCTGCAGCCAAGGGGACACGGCCTTGCTTGGGTTCTGCAGCTTCAGCCCACCCCCTGGCCCCGTGCTTAAATTCACCCTCCAGGGTGGGGGCCAAGAGCTGGATCCCCCCACCTTTTCACCTGCCCTGAGGACAGCAGGGCTGCCTACTCCAGTGAGCCTGCACTTACTTGAGGTAGCTGGGCTGGGAGAGGAGGACCAGTGGGAGGGGCACGTCAGGTTCCAGGATGGACATCTCAACCACTCGCACAACCAGCATGTCCGGCTGGAAGATGTAGGCACAGGTGGGAATAAAGTCCTGAGGAAAGAGCAGGGACAGGGAAAGAAGGTGAGGGGGTGCTGGCCCAGAGGGGCGGGGCTGGCCTGGAGGGGGCAGGGTTGGAGCAGATGAGGTGGGGCTGGCCTAGAGGGGTGGGGGCTGGCCCAGGGGGGTGGGGGCTGGCCCAGGGGGGCGGGGATGGACCTAGGGGGCGTGACTGGACCAGAGGGGGCGGGGTTGGAGCAGATGGGGCGAGGCTGGCCCAGAGGGGCAGGGATGGACCAGGGGCGGGGTTGGAGCAGATGGGGCGGGGCTGGCCCAGAGGGGCAGGGTTGGAGTGAATGGGGCGGGGCTGGCCCAAAGGGAGTGTGGCTGGCCCCTGGGACTGGCCCAGAGGGGCAAGGATGGACTGAGGGCGAGTGACTGGTCCACAGCGGGCGGAGCTGGGCGAAAGAGCCTGGGGTTTGGGGGGCAGGGCTGGGCAGCAGAGCCCTGGGCAATGTCGGCCCTAAGAAGGCGAACAACAGGGACCAGTCATTCGTGCCCTGAGCGATGCTGCCCCCATCCCCAGAGGGAGTGCCCTTACCTTCACCTCAATCTTATGGGAGGAGGGGGGCAGGTGGGCGGCCACAAACCAGTCCCCAGGTGCTGGGTAGGAGACGTTGACGGAGGCGTTGCCCTGCAGCATTTTGAGGAGGAAGGAGGGCTGCACGGAGGTACTGTTGGCGAAGCTGGTGCCCAGTGGGTTGATCACAGGAGGGGCGCCGTAGCGGAAGTACCTGGAGGCAGGGAGAGCAGGGAGGGCTCAGGTGTGGCCCTGGGCGGCTCCAGCAGGCAGGCAACGAGCGGGCTGGCACCTACACGGTGGTCTCCACGTTGTTGCAGGTGGAGCCGCTGCCCTGGGTGACCTGCAGCAGCCAGCGCAGCAGCACCGTGTCCGGGGGCACACGGAAGTGGAAGAGCCGGGCGCTGCCGTACCAGCTGTAGAAGGCCAGCTTCTGCGGGGCCTGGGAAAACTGCTCTGACACCAGCCTGGAGTCTGCAGAGAAGGCACTGTCAGGCGGCCAGGGAGCCCGGGAGCCCTCCTCTGGGGACAAGACAGAGAAAGGCGGAAGGCGGAGGCCCTTCTGCCTGGCCTGGCCTCAGAGAAGCAGCCAGGGGAGCCATAGAGCCCCTGGGATGCCTGGCACACCACCCCCAACCTGGGAAAAGTCACTGTTGCCCCCGAGCCCCTGGTGAGGGCCGGGGCTCGGAAGCTTTCACTCAAGAATCACGTTCTAAAAAGAAAAAAAGAAAAGAATCACGTTCTCACCCATGTCTGCACATCAATCTTCCTAATCCCTCCAGCCCTGCCAATGACCTCCAACTCACAGGCTCAGTCCCCAGGATCTCTGCATCCCACCCACCAGGCACCCCCAATCAACAAGTCCCACAGGCCCCAACACCAATCACATGTTGGGTCAACATGAGGTCAAGTGTCTCAGACCTCAGAAGCAGGAAGAGCCCCCCTCAGAGGGCTGCATCTCTCCACACTGCTCACAGCCCCCGGGGACCCCCACCGCAGCCCTGGCACACCTGGGGCTGAGGGATGGAGGATGAAAGGCACAGGAAGAGGTCAAGGTGGGAGCCCCATCCCTCCTCCCATCTGCCCTGGGCACTGGAGGCCAGGACACACCCCACCTCCCCGAGTCTCCCCAGTGCTGGGACCCCTGGTCCTGGCTGCAGCGGACAGGGCAGGGTGACCAGGTCCAGAGGCTGGCTGCCTGCTCAGGCCATGATTTGGGGTTTCAGGAAGAGCCACTGTCCGTCCTCACCCAGACAGGAGGCGAGCAGAGACCCTGTGTGTGTGCTGGGGGGGCACCTAGGCTGGAGCGGCTGCTTCAGTGGGCACAAGCCCCTGCAGAGTGGCACGGGGACAAAGCAGGGGTTGGCAGCACACAAGCTAGCTGCCTATGCCCCACCCGGAGCTCCCCAGTCCTGGCACTGTCCCCCAGCCCCTCCCCTCCATGGCTCCTCTCCCCAGCTCCCTCCACAAGTTGTCACCTGAGGCCCCTCCTGTCACACCAGCCTTTCCAAACCAGCTCTAAAGGTCTCTGGAGACCCCACCCTGGATTAGGAGCCTCCTAGGAGAGTCCATTAACCAGTACAACCCCGTGTCTGGGGCCCACAGCATAACCACCTGCCCCACGAATGGGTAAGAATGCTCTTGGGCCTGCCAAGAACAGGCACGCCCAGGTGCTCTGTGTCCAGGGGTGACTAAGGAGGTGCCTGGGCTGCTCAGCAGGAAGCATGGCCCCACCGCCAGCTCAGGCCTTGTTCGCGGAGTGACCTTGACCGTCCCTTCTCCTGTCTGGGCCCAGCTTCCTCTGAGTAGGACAGCACCTCCCTTCAGCTGCCCCTCCCTCCATGGTTAATGGATGTTAAAGTGCTTCAGGAAGAAACACACTGGGAACACAGCAGGGTGGGGCCACCCTCTCCTCCCCCTGCCCCACTGCCGGGGTGGCAGCCCACACCATCCCAGCAGCAAGCCCGGAGAGAGGGGTGGGCCAGGTGAGCAGGTGAGCCAGCCTCCTGACTCCCATGGAAGCACCCTGAAAAGAGATAGTAGCCCACTTACAAAGCCATCTGAGCTACCAGGAGCCCAGTGTGGGGGACTGGGCAGGGGTAGGCACCACACAGCATAGGCACCAGGCTTTCCAGGAATCTGCTGGTCACCAGGTTCCAACGTCCAGCTGTGGCCTGAGTGCTAAGAGACTAGGAGCCACTGAGCTAATATAAACTTTTTCCTGAGGCTGTTGCACCATCCCCCCACTACCACCACCACGGGATCACAGGGCCTTAGAGAAATAGCCAGTCAGCCGCCGAGCACCCAGCTGCTGGATGTGGCCAGGCAGGAGAGGTCCAGCTGTGGCATGCAATCCCCTGGCCTGAGAGGGGCTGGGTCCTCTGGCTCCCCCGCCAGCCCTGGACACCTGCAATTCAGTGGTTATAAAGTCTCCTCAGGGTGCACAAGAGATAAGATCTCCCATTCCCCGGGCCACCCAGCCCCTCCATCCCATCCCCAGCCCTGCACCCCGACCTCCCTGCCCAGGACGCCCACTCCATTATCTTGGTGAATGTACCAGGCCATTCACACGTCTGAGCCAGATGTGGAAGTCACATTTCCAGTATCAGGAAGCACCAGCCACATGCACACTTGCTCTGCCCAACCCCCTCCAAGGACACAGGGTTGGGGGTAGGAGAAAGAAAGTCCCTGAGCCTATCTGGGGACCCTAGTAAGGGGATCCTCTCCCACATCCTCCAAACCAGTGCAGGCACCCAGTAGGGAGACCCTGCCCACCCAGAGACCCCAGAAGCCAGGATCACACAGAAAGCAGGATCAGTTCAGCAGGCCCAGGAGGGGAGCGGCTGCCCGCTCCCTTCCAATGACTCCGTACCTATCCCTGACCCGGGAGAAGGAAGAAAAGGAGAAAGTAGGGGTGGCAGTCCCCAGCGGAGCGCTTTCATCAGGGGCCAGCCTTGGGGAAACTGCCTTTCGGTTCAAGCTAAGCCAGGCTCAGAAACCAGAGGCACAGCCCTCAGAGAAACAGGAGCTTGGAGGAGCAAGATCTCAGAGAAGGGGGGGGGGGGGATGGGCTGGGAGCCAACCCCATGCTGTGCTGGATAAGCTGCCTACAGCCTCCTGGGGCATCTGGGCCCTCCCAGCCCCGCCAGCAAGCCGTCAGAGAGCCCAAGGCCACAGAAGTCAGATAGTTTACTCAGCACCCCCAGGCGCCCAGCAGTACCTTCAGGTCTAGCCGCCCCCTTGGGCCTTCATCACCCAGAGCCAAAGTTCCCAAACAGCACAGAGATAGCCATTTCTCTGAACCACTCTGGCCTATAAGCGTCCTGGGGACCACTGGGAGTCCACCCTCCAACAAGCGAGGCCAGCTGTTGAAGGTGACTGCACTGGGATAGTGGTCACTGTGGGAGAGGCGGAGCCATGACACGCACCTGACTGCCACTCCAGGATCTAAGCAACTTTCTCCAACTCTGCCCCTCTCCCAGACCAGATGGCGTCCAGGAACCCCACTGCCCAAGGTTTCCTCCTGGGGACTCGCACTCCCACCACAGCCCTTGGAGTCCCGGAGAGTCCCCCAGGGCCGCTCAACCTCACCCTGGTGCCCGAAGGTCCCACCCGACCAGAACGCGTTGGGAGGAGGAAGGAAGGGAGAGCTTGCTCCAAGGGGACAGTCTGGCCGAACCTGGCCCTGGGCACAGGGGAGGGGGAGAGGGCGTCCTTTCTGTCCGATCGCTCTCACACTCGGCGCCCTGCAAGGGGGCGCCGTGCGCCCCCAACAAGGCGTGGGGGCCTGAGGCCTACGTCCCTGCCAGGTGAGCGCACAGGTGGCCCCAGGTGAGTCACAATCCCGGACCTGCCCCCCGGCCTCTTCCCCCCGCGCCCCCGCCCGCGCCCCGGGGATGGCGCCCGCGGGTCCGCGCTCGCTTACCGCTCTTTCTGCCGTCGCCAGCGGCGGCAGGCGGGGACCGAGAGAGCAGCAGCAGCAGCAGCGACATCACCACCGCCACCGCCGCGCTCCCGGTCCCAGTCCCAGCCCCGCGCATGGCTCCGCGCTCGGCCAGGCGCTACCCGGCCCGCGCACCAGGCCGCCCGCCCCCGCCGCCGCCCGGGCAGCCACCGCCGCCACTGCGGCCCCCGCCGCCGCCTCTGCCCAGGGCTCCCATCCTCCCGGCCGGTCCCGGCCGCCGGCGCCCCGGGCACTTCCGCCTGTGAGGCCCCGCCCCGCCGGAGTCCGGGCGGAGAGGGGCGCTGGGTGAATAACTGCGCGCTGGGGGCGCGCGTGGAAGGCGATCGGAACGAGGATGCGGGGCAGAAGGGCGACGCGGGGCGGTGACATGCGGCGAGGGAGGGTGACACGAGGCGGGGTGCGACGCGGGGCTGGGGGCGTCCCGCGGATCAAGAGGGCGCTCTGGGAAAATGGGTCAGAGGTGGGTCAGGACTGAGCGGGAACGCGGGTCCGCCACTGCGCGCAGAGTAGCGGAGGCGGGGCGGGATGCGGTGGAGGGTCGCGGGACACAGGGGGCGGAGTGGGGGCAGAAGGTGGCGCCGGACCCAGAGGACCGCGGGGGTCTTGGTTATGAGGCAGAAATGGTGCGGCGTGGCTTGGAATGCGCAGGAGATTCGAGGCAGCCGCAGAGCGCCCCACATGTGTCTGGGGACACCCGGGTCGCTGCGTGGCTGGCTGGGCGCGGCGGGAGGTCCGGCCCGCCGGCGGCCGCTCCCGCCTCCCGGATCTAGACTCCCTGGCGGGGCCTCCCCGCGCGCCACACCACAAAGGCGCTACGAGTGTGGGTAGCGCCCACACTCCATCTTTCCATGGAAAGATGAAGAGGCTCCTGCACATATTTTGTGGACTGTGAAGGTGGCGATTCCTGTCGGTGGTGCGAGTCACTCCTCGCCCTTGACCCCGGGGTCTGTTCCAACAGATTAAGGATTTCAGCGTGAAGAGGAAACGGTGAAGGGACTCCAGAGAACTTAGGGAAACTTTTTTAGCGTCCAGGGGAAGCGAAGTCTTTTCTAAATATGACCAAGGAGACTAGAGGCAAGACTGAGAAATTCAGCTAAGTGCAAAACTGCAACAAACTCAAAAAGGAAGCCCCCAAAGGGAGGACACTTGGACTTGCATCACAAAGAGGCGATCTTACAGAGATTACTAACAATATAGAGTTCCTACAAATAAATAAGAAACACCAGCCAGGAAACTACCAATACCGATAAGGAAACCACTGGAGAAGATTCCTGCAAAGGATATGCAGATTTCCCTCCTTAGAGAAATGCAAAATGAAAAGCACCCAAAGGCCTTTTTTCTTTGACCTAACAAATCTGCAAAAAGCTGATTGCGCGCTCAGACTTTCTTAGCTTTGCTGAGCCTCTGGAATCCTCACCCTGCCACCGCTGTGCATTTTCCCTGCAGAGATGGTCGCGGAAGCATGAGCTTGCATGAGTGCAGCCTGCGCCCAGATACCTGTCATGAGGGAAAGAGGCATTTGAATCACGGGTACCCAGATGGAGATTCAAATGCTGTGATGTTTAAACACTGATGCAGTGGGCTGAAAATCCAGAAGCTCTGTGTACTGGTTGGAATGGTCTAGCAGGAGGACCGTTAGCAGAAAAAAGGAACGGGCAGAATAATGTGTTCAGAAAGCTCCACTTTTTGTAGAAAAAAAAATTTGTTTAATTTGCGTGTCTCAAAGGTGGAAAATGCCTAGAAGCATCCAGCAGTTGGTGCAGGAAGGGAAGCAAGTGGCTGAGGACTGGGAAGAGGGGTTATATCTGTTCGAATTTTTTGAATTTCAGTGTATGTGTGTCTGGGTCTGTGTCCTGTGTCTGTGTGTTTGTGGATTTACCGGTCTGGAGGGAGGAGAAGCTGACCCCTGGAGCCAAATGCCACTGAAGACTGGGGGGAAGGGAGGAATGAGGCAAGGTGAGGAGGGAGGAGAAAGGCCCAGGTGTGAACTCTTATTTATTCCTCTGGAATCTGGGCAGGCCCTCTTCACCCGGGGCTGCTGGGGGCTTCCAGGTTCTATTACGGGTTTTGCTGAGCTTCGATTTTAGTGCACTGTACTGACCCAGATCATGCAGGGACAGCAGCTGTGGTTAGCTCTGAGCCCAAAGGACTGTACCATCTGACACCCATCCCTGCCCCAGGCTGGGCTCAGCGGCGCCCCAGCCCTACCCGCTCTGAGGGTCACCTTAGTGAGACTCCAGCACCCAAGCTCCCCAGCAGGCAGGAGGGGAGGTGTCTGTGCTTCCTCTGAGGTGGGGGGCTGGGGAATTTGCAGATGGACCAGAATCGGAGATCTCTGCTAAGTAACAAGAGTCTTTATAATAGAAAAGGCAAAAAAAAAAAAAAAAAGAAAGAAAAAAAGAAAAGGCCCACCTGGGGGCCTCACTTGAAGATGGAAACAGGCCCTGTGGTAGGAGGTTTCTGTATCCTACCTCACAGGACATGGGAAATTTGAGGTTATCAACTGTCAAGAGTAAAACAATAAAAATATTAAAAGGAACCTAGAATACGTCCCTTAGAATACAGGTATGGGAAAGCCTTTCTTAAGCAAGACAAAGACCTGGGGAACATGAAGAAAAGGTTGCTTATTTGACTACATCTTAAAAAATGTCATATGGGACTTCTCTGGTAGTTCAGTGGGTAAGACTCTGCCTGCCAGTGCACGGGACACAGGTTCCACCCCTGGTCCAGGGAGATCACACATGCTGGGGAGCAACTACAGAAGCCCAAGTGACCTAGAGCAACAGGAGAAGCCGCCGCAGCGAGAAGCCCAAAGCCATGCTCGGTGACAGAGAGGAGCCCTCTGCTTGCCGCAGCTGGAGAAAGCCCCTGTGCAGCGACAAACACCTGGCAGAGCCAAAATATTAAAAAAAGATTCATTTAAAAAGCGCTATGTAACTGTAAAATGGGTAAAAGGAAAAAGGATACATGTCATCGAGCCAACTGGAAGGAATCATGTGCTGGGCAAGTGATAAAAGGTGAACCCACCTGAGATAGAAAGGGAGTTCACACAGTGAAGAAAAGAGCCCAGAAGGAAAGAAGACACTGGAAACACCCTGCACCCTGGCAATCACCGGGAGAAGATGAGAAAGATGCAGCTGGTCCACTAGCAGGCTCACGGACCACAAGGGAAGACAAGACACCTTGTCCTCTCTCGGGCAAGGGAGCGGGCAACTTGCCCTCTGTGGCTGCACTGTGAGCTGCTCCTGAAGGCGTCGGTGGCAACACTGAAATGTCCTGGAAATGGGGACCCGCACTTACAGGGGTGCTGGCCACAGAGGTGTGTGCAATTGTGGACCCTTGGGGCTCTGTGAGGGGACGGTGCATAGACGAGGACCTGGATATCTTAGGAATTCTCACACGGTTTTCCCACAGCTGGGTTTTCCTTGCTGCTCATGGGCTTTCTGCAGTTGCGGAGCCTGGGCTTAGTGGCTCCACAGCCTGTAGGACCTTCCCGGACCAGGGATGGAACCTGCGTCCCCTGCATTGGTTTCATGGACCGAGTTGCTGGATACAGCCCATTTCCAGGCTGGAACACCCTCAGAGGCCCTCGCCTGCTCCATGAGTGTGCACTGAGTGGACGGCTGCCCGCCCGCCCACCCAGGGAAAGGCGTATTTCCCACAAAGGAGAGAGAGAAAGCGCTGCCCGCCCCTCCTGCAGCCCCCCGCCTGCCTCATCTCTCGGGTCTCCCCTCCGTCCTTCCTCCCCGGTTAGCCCAGGCCAGCAGTGCCGCCATCCTGGGCCCAGCGCCAGCCGCCAGCCGGCCTCGCTCCCACCGCGGCCCTTCCAGCTGAGGTGGGCGCTCAGCCCTGGGCACACTGGGAAAGGCTGCGGCCCTCAGTACCCCCGCCCCTGCTCCCCCACCCTCCCCAGTTCAGCCCAGGCTCCTCCTGTGTGCCAGGCCCGGCTGGAAGGAGTCCCCCACTCTACAGACGGAGTGTCCTGTCAGCTCAGCCCACTGCAGGCTTCCTCGGGCAGGGAGCGGAGTGTCCCCGTGTGGGCCTGGCCGGGATGCAGGTGGTTTCTCTTCCAGTGCCCCCACCTGTCAGCATGAACTAGACCAGGGCACCCAGACACGCGGGGCCTGAAGAAGGAATTCATAGGGCCTTGACTCCATCTGAGGCCTGTCCGTGCTGATCGTGCTCGGCCACCTCTCCAGTGGACTCTGAACTCTCTGCTTAGTGCCTGTGGGAACGACAATGGAAGGATAAGACCCCCTCCGGACAGGGGAACCTTGAAGATTGTATCCAGGTTACTCATCACCTAAGAGAAAACAGACACTAATCACCCCTGCCTCCGGACAGTATCTATCGGAATGTAACCACAGGCTTGTCGGTTATTAACTGGTTGGAATGTAATCGCGGGCTTATTGATCATTAACTGAACACATAACACGTGAATGATGATGTTATTGTGATTGTATTTACCCTTCCTTTGTAAGCCTCAAGGGATTTGGGGTGGTGGCTTTAGACATGTACACATGGGGTATAAAAGATTTTCACAAATGCTGGTCCAGGTCCTTGGCTAAGAGGAGACTCTGCCTTGGGCCCGCCGGTGTAATAAACTGCACTCCACTATCTGCATTGTCCTTCTGAGTGAGTTTGTTTCCCGGAAAGCGTGGCTATAACATTTGGTGCATTGGTCGGGAAACTCCTCACTTTGAGGAGACAGGTCTCATTTGAGGCCAACCGAGGCTTTGTAGCGTGAATCTCCTAGAGGGGGGAAGGCGCCTCGCCCCTCTGGAAGGATTCTGCTTCTCAACGCCCGGACCTTTCATGTTAGCAGGTAGTGGACGGCAGCAGGGGAACTGAGCGCTCAGGTGAGGAGGAACCCACCCATCAGGGTGGAAGAGGGGGCCTGATCACCCCCCTGGGAGGGACTAGAAGGAGCAGGGACCCACAGGGGCCTGGAATAGGCAGGTGGCCATTGCTTGGTACACAGGTCGACGAGCCTTCTAGGGTTTAGGAAGGAAATTTGTGAAGGTCATTTAGGAGGTGTGTCCACGCCGTCTCGGGGAAAATTATTACCAAGAGATTGCCAGGGGATTTTTAGGATAGGAAACTGGTCCTTGTAAGCTCGTATTCTGCCCTCCCCCAGGAGGTGTCCCGTCTGCTGTGAAATTCTTGACCCCCTCGGAATTGTTAGGTTAGAAGGAGGCGTATACAGAAGTGAGTATGAATTGGCTTTTCCAGAGATGGCCTGGGACGTGGGATATTTAACCCATCTGTGTTTTCACCCACACCTGATCAAGCCCACCAAGGCAGAATGGTCTTTAAGGGAGAAACAGCCTTGGACCATGTGATGTTCTGGTTCAGCTGTGCTGACCAGCGGGTGAAGACACGCTGATCCCCCTTCTCCCTCTGGGATCTGGCAGGTAAGGCTCTTCTCACCCCAACTAGAAAGGAGGCAGAATGGCAATTTAAGTGTCCCTGAGTGGAAATATCAGAAGTACATAGGATATTGAGAACTTTGTAGACAGAACGAAAAGGAAAAGTAGAAGAAGGTCCGAGAAGGTAAGCAAGATGAGGGGAAGTGAATCTAAGGCAACTGTATTGGAGTGCATGATTAAAAATTTAAAGAAGGGATTAGGAGGAGACTATGGGGTGAAGATGAAGCCGAACTGCCTCCACATACTCTGTGAGGTCAAATGGCCCCCTATGGGAGTAGGATGGCCGCCAGAGAACACCATGAACTCAAAAATAGTGGAAGCAGTCTATACAGTAGTCACAGGAGAGCCAGGACACCTGGATCAATATCCATCTATTGACTCATGGCTAGGGTTAGCTTGAGACCCTCCTACTTGGACAAGGTTCTGTATCCAGAAGGGAAAGGGAAAAATATTAATGGCACAAAAATTGACTGATGATAAAAAAGGAAATTCTACAAGATTTGGACGGGGTTGACCTGACCCCTCCCCCATGCTGGATAATGACGCGCCTGCCTCCCAGTGCTTCACCAGGACCGGAGGCCACCTTAATGCCTGATCCAGGGCCAGGTGAAGTTCCTGCAGCAGCCGCTGCTCTTCCTCCAGCTCTCTCGGAGGTCATAAAGCCGCCGTTTTGGCAGGCTCCGCTCCCGGTGACAGAAGCCTCTGGCCAACACTTCCAGGATCCGGCTCCAACCGAACCGCCCAAGCTATACCTGCCTCTCCCGCATCACAGCCCATCTTTGCCTTTGAATGAGAAGATCCAGTCGGGAGCACCAAACAACAGCTCATCTGGACTTCCCCACAAGGGTTTAAAAACTTCCCAGCCATCTTTGGGGAAGCCTTGGCTTCTGACCTGGACTCATTCCATCCGGAAGAGTATGGATGTCGGCTCCTACAATACGGGGATGACCTGCTGCTGGCTGCCTGAGACCAAAGAAAAATGCTGGAAAGGGACAAATGCACTGCGCCAGCTGTTGATGGAAGCAGGTTACCCGGTGTCAAAGAAGAAGGCACAGATCTACAAAGAAGAGGTAAGATATCTGGGTTTTGTTTTAAAGAAGGGCTCAAGGTTCCAGACCCTAATTGTGTCCTATATACTGATGGCACTAGCCTGATAAAAAAAGGACAACTGCTGTCAGGTTAGCCAAAGCGGAAAGGGCCATCAGGACTGAAAAGAAATGGTGGGAATTGCCAAGTGACAAATTATTGGTACTGGAGAAGCTGGCACACACTCTGATAAGCCAAACACACCAAACAACCCACCTAGGCCATGCTGCCAGCTCACAGGTTAATGCTGCCTCTCAGGTATTCAGACAAAAACCTCCGGGTATTCAGCTGAAAGGCTCACTGCTCCTTGAACACCTGGGAGTGGACTTCACTGAAATGAAACCTCACCGACACTACCGTTACCTGCTGGTCATGGTCTGTACGTTCCCGAGATGGGTAAAAGCTTTTCCTACCTGGACTGAAAGAACATCAGAAGTAGCCCGGTGCCTGCTTAGGGAAATAGTTCCCAGATTTGGATTTCCTACCAGCACTGGATCAGGCAATGGCCCGGCTTTTGTAGCTGATTTAGTACAACAAGTAAGCAAAACTTTAAACATCAAATGGAAACTGCACACTGCATATAGGCCCAGAGTTCTGAAATGGTGGAATTAACCAACCAGACACTTAAAGAGACTCTCCAAGTGGATCAGAGAGATTGACTGCTCCTGGGTGGACTTGCTTCCGATAGCTCTGCTCAGACTCAGGATGACCCCACAGTCCCAAGGCTATTCTCCATACAAAATTGTGTATGGGAGACCTCCTCCCATAATAAAACAGGTGTCAACAAATTTACCTCAGGTAAGGGGGAATAGGATTTCACAGCAGATGGAACTGGGTAATAAATGGGGTAACTAAACTTGTACAAAAAAGGGTTCCATTCCCCCTGGGGGAACAGATTCATGAGTTTACACTTGGTGACCAACTATGGGTCAAAGATTGGAAACATGATTTGCTAGCCCTTTGGTGAAAGGGCCCTTATGTTATTCTAACTACCCCTACTGCAGTTAAAGTTGCAGGTATTGTCCCTTGATCCATCATATGAGGGTAAAGAGAGCATACCCCGCAGACTCAGAAAACGCTGAGTGGACTGCACAGAGGGACCACATTGATCCTCAAGAGACTAAGACCATCCTCAAGAAGAAGGAAAAGAAGATCCCGGACGAGCCCCTTCAGGATGAAGCTGCACAATCAACTCCTGCTGCTTGGCCTCATTAACGTGAATTTGAATTTAACTTCTGTCTCAACTCAAGACAACATTTTCACCTCATGGGCACATTCCTACGTGGACTTCCACAACACTTACAACTTCTGGGTATGTAGGACTATGCCTTTGTCTGTGATGGATGGACTTCCTTGGTGGGTGTCACCGCTCCACCAAGGAGATTTTAACCACTCTGCTCTTTTCTGGGATGACAGAGACTTTCCTCTCTCTTGTCAATCATAACCTCTCCTTGCTCTCTTGGTGTAAGACCTACAGTCAATTAACTGGGGTCATGGGGTTACATTTGATATAAATGCCAGTGTAACAAAAGCCTAACCTACAACAAGCCCCAGTAAATCTACCTTATTTACATGCTAGGTGGACAAGATCTGTTTCAATGGTATGAGTATATTGCTGCCTTTTTTGTATCCTCTATAGGGACAACAAATATATTATGATTAAAGTAGAGGCCTTGACTAATTTCACAAACAGGCCCTCCTAGACAAAACAGAAGCCATCCAAGCCTTAAATGAAGAGCAAATCTAAATGAAAAAAGCAGCAATTCATAATAAAATGGCTTTGGACATACAGCTGCTCAAAGAGGGACCTGTACTATAATTAAGGTTGAATGTTGTGTATACATTCCTGACTTATCTGACAATGTATCGACTACTTTAGATGACTTGAAAAACCAGGTAAAAACAAGTCAAATGAAAACATTCCTTTCTGGACTTCAGTCCTATCTTGGGTGAAGGGCGATTGGTGGAAAACTATATTTACCACTGTTATAGTTGCCGTGATAGTTCTGCTTTGTGGACCCTGAATTTTACAATATATTATGAACTTTGTAACCCGAAGGTTGATGTCATTCTCCCTAATTGGCAGTTGGAGAGCCAGGGTGCAATATATCCCTATAAATGATGCTCATAATATGAGTTAAGAGCATCAAGAGGAGGGAATGAAGAAGGAATTCATGGGGCCTGGACTCCATCTGAGGCCTGTCCGTGCAGATCGTGCTCGGCCACCTCTCCAGTGGACTCTGAACTCTCTGCTTAGTGCCTGTGGGAACGACAATGGAAGGATAAGACCCCCTCCGGACAGGGGAACCTTGAAGATTGTATCCAGGTTATTCATCACCTAAGAGAAAACAGACACTAATCACCCCTGCCTCCGGACAGTATCTATCGGAATGTAACCACAGGCTTGTCAGTTATTAACTGGTTGGAATGTAACCGCGGGCTTATTGATTATTAACTGTTTGAACACATAACACGTGAATGATGGGGTTATTGTGATTGTATTTACCCTTCCTTTGTAAGCCTCAAGGGATTTGGGGTGGTGGCTTTAGACATGTACACATGGGGTATAAAAGATTTTCACAAATGCTGGTCTGGGTCCTTGGCTAAGAGGAGACTCTGCCTTGGGCCCGCCGGTGTAATACACTGCACTCCACTATCTGCATTGTCCTTCTGAGTGAGTTTGTTTCCCGGAAAGCGTGGCTATAACAGGCCCAGAGGAATAGCTCCCCCAGAACTTTGGGGAACAAATAGAGTTTCTGCATCTTTATTTTACCGAGACAAAGTTTTTCTTAACTCCAACTGCCATCTATCATTATTTCATAAAGGATCATTTTCCCATCAAAACCTTTAGGAGGCTCATACACTTAGAATTATGCTTAAATGCGAAGTTATTTTTTCTAGAGTCCAACATGTAGTTCTGTGGTGGGAGCCACCGGGATGCACCCAGCCCGTGACAAGGTCAGGGACGAGAGAGGACCGTGCAAGGCAGCTCTTCCTCACGTGGGGCTGCCCTGGGGGCCCAACATGTCCCCTCCAGAGCCTCAGGGATGAGAAAGGAATCTGCAAGGCAGCTCTTCCCCTCGAGGTTGTCCCAGGGACAAGGTCAAGTGATGAGAAAGGAATCTGCAAGGCAGCTCTTCCCCTCGAGGTGGTTCCAGGGGCCCGGTATGTCCCTTTCTTCCTTCTGCCTTACTGTTGTTGGGCTACTATTAATTTTGGGAAATGATAATATATAGTAATAAGGCCTTGCTGGAAAAGTCCAAGCCTTTTTGGAAATGCTCAAGATTGCTCTGGCTCAGGACCGGACCATAAACATCAAGTCATAAAAGAAAAGGCCACAGGTATAGTTTGGCTGCTTGCTTAAAAGATTATAATGTTCTAGAATCGAAAAGAGTAGAGGTATTTAGATTTAGAAGTAGATATACTGCTTTAGTTTACTTGCTCCTTGGTTGTAAGGGTTTTCACTATTGCTATATCCTTGCTGCTATTTGTTCATTGTTTCCCTTTCTTTAAACAACATGGGATATTATGGGTGTTTCTGTAAAATTAGAAAATGGGGTATATAGGATTTTAATAGAAGATTTATATTAACCAGCTTTACTGCCATTATCTTACTATTAATAGAGGTGTTTTTGCTGTTTAATAGTTAATCACTGTAAATTGAGATTTTGCGGTTTCAGGTAAAGAAAAATATCAGGTTTTTCTCATGGTACTATTTTCAGAAATGTCAAACGTGTTACTGTGATCCTTCCCATGTATTGTTTTATTGTCCAAAGAATTTACACTATACCTGAGATTTGTGGAACATTATTTTTGTTAGAGTGAGAATGTTAGGCCATTGAGGCAAGAAGACTATGTATGGGACATTTAAGTATAAACCCTGTAATCGGAAACATTCTAGATGAATGCTTAGGGGGAAAACATGGGAAAAAAATATTGACGGAAGCACAAACCAGTATCTGATGTAATATGTGGTGACTTAAGGGGGAGGTAACATTCATTCTATAAAAACTGAGCTATCCTAAAAATAAAAAAAAGCTACCTCTTCTACGAAACCGTCTGTGTGTGTGTGTCTGTCTTCTTCCTCGCCGACGCCACTCATCCCTTGGGTACTCCTGGTCCTGCCGGGGCTGGGCCTCGGCAGTTCTCCCGTGTCCCCATTTTATCTGGTTAATAACTGCTTCCTGTCCTGGGTGCTGGGCACTTAGGAACCAGGAGGTGAAGGGCCAGGAGCTGCTCGCAGAGCTCTTGGCATGCACTGAACCGGGGACACGGTCCAGCGGCAATGGGGCCTGGTGACCGCAGTGAATCCTGCTCCCCTCCCAGTGGAGAGTGACAGAGGGTGGCAAGAGCAGAAGATGGGTGCCAGGACAGGAGGCTCTAGAGTCAGCTCTGGTTGTGGGCTCCCCCTTGGCACCCCCCACCAGCTTCCCTGGGGTGGCAGAATAGGGGTAAGCCTCCTGGGACCCCTGCTCCTAGAATAAGCCATCCACTGTGGCTCCCCTGGCAGTGATCCAAGGAAGAGTGGGAAGTCTAACGTGCCTAAAGGGGGAATTCCAAGAGGACAGAAGAGAATGAGGCAGAAAAAAACATGAAATCTGGTGAAAGACGATAATTTACAGATTTATGCAGCTCAATGTGTCCCAAGAAGAATGTGTAAAAGAAAATCACAGTCAACTACTGAAAACCAAACAAAAAGGGAAAATATTGGAAGCACCCAGAGAAAAATGACATTCAAGGGAATAACAGTTCAAACAATGAATGACTTCTCAGAAACAATGGAGCAGATAGAATGGGGGAGGGGGAAAATAGACCTACACGGTTGCAAAATTCTTGCATCTTACATGAAATGGCACAATATAAATTCTAAATAGTCTGAAATGTTAAGAATGTAATTACAATCCCTAGAGCAACCAATGGAGAAGGAAATGGCAACCGACTCCAGTATTCTTGCCTGGAGAATCCCAGGGACAGGGGAGCCTGGTGGGCTGCCATCTATGGAGTCGCACAGAGTCGGACACGACTGAAGTGATTTAGCAGCAGCAGCAGCAAAGCAACTAATATAAAA